ACAGTCATAAGCATTTTATTAGATACTCAGTCTTCAGACATACCAGACATGTTTCGAAGGTTGTGCTTCTGTCTTCATTAGAGGTGTCGACACCTCTGAGAACAACAGCTGTGACACCTCTGAAGAAGATTGAACTACATTGAAACATGTCAGGTACGTCTGAAGAGACATTAAATAACTCGGTGTCTAGTAACAAAAGAATCTTCCACACCGTTATTTTATCCACAACTTTGGGGCAGGTGCATCTTTTTTGGGGGGGCTAAAATTTCCTTTTCGTTGTCGTGCATAGGAAAAGCTTTGACCACATCGGGGCTCCCGTCGCCAAACTCCACCGCCGCTTCCACACCCTCTGCCGTTTCCACGCAGTCTCTGATGGCCCTTCCTGTCACTATGGTCACATTCACTACTTCCTCTCCCGCCACAGTCAGCCACTCGTCCGTCTCCAGCGCCGCCACAACGCCATCATCTTCCTCATCGGTTTCGGCCGCACCAGCTTTGAAGAAACAGCGCCCACTGCTGCCCAGAGAGACGGTGCCGGTGGTTCAGCGAGCCGTCGTGTGGAGTCCCGCTGCAAAGTTTCAGACGTCCTCCCAGAAGTGGCACATGCAGAAGGTGCAGCGGCAGCAGCAAACCCAGCAGCTCGTCGTGGCCCCACAAACGCAGGCATCCTCGCCCAGGCACAGCCAGGCCCAGGTTCTGACCCAGACACAAGTAGCGGGAAATGGCTCCGCGGCCGTTCCTTCGTCGTCGTCCTCAGCGCAGCAGTCCTCACAAAGCTCTCGCTATCAGACGAGACAGGCTGCTAAAAGTGAGTCTCACGGTTTTTGTCGTGAGCTTCGTTCTGCTTGTCCATAATCTTGATGCTTGTGTTCTTAATTTTAGCCGTTCAACAAAAAGACCCATCCATCAGCACGTCCACACCTGCTGGTACTCTGGTACCTGGCAGTACAGCTTCTGTTACCATCGTAGCTCCGTCAGGTTTGGGCACGCCTTCATCATCGCCGGCCGGAACAGACCTGTATATTCCCACTGCCTCGGCAGATGTGGCTGCAGACATTGCAAAATATACAAATAAAGTTAGTACCTTTCTTTTTTTCTTAATTTTTGATTAACCTAATTCTCAAGACTTAAAGGGGACCTGTTATGCAAAGTTACATTCTTATTCTTCCATTTGGGACTCAACAGTTTCTAACAACAGCCCAAGCACTTAAAAAAACACCATATTTTCTGGCAATAGCTTGATCTGGAAAACTATCCATTTTAAAAATCCTCCATTGCTTTGTTGCCTCAGCCACTGACCTAGCAACCCAAGCTGAGCTCCAGCATCTTTGGGAAGCTGGTTTTAGCGCTGTTTACTCTGTTCAACATCTCCTGGAAAAAGACACGTGTTTTGGCTTACCATTCAGAAACCACTTGCTACATTCTTGTTGCTTGAGCAGGAGGCTCCACTTCTGCTTTTCAGAGATGTCCAGTTGTATAATTGCGCGCCTGTTTGCAGTCATTTTCAGTAGTTGTGGGTGTGGCCAGCATTAGCTTATTTGGATTTTAAGTGACAAGATGCCCTAAAAAAGGAGCTCTGGCAGAACTGACCAAAATAAAATCACATTATCTGGATGATTTTGCGCAAAAAATGTAAAGAACACATTTTCCTTCTCGAGCAGCGGTTCTTAACCTTTTTCAGGTTACTGAACCCACTAGTTTCATATGCGCATTCACTGAACCCTTCTTTAGTGATAAATAAAATATATATTTTTTCCAAGACATAGGTGTATGTTTATTTTACTGGTGTACAAAGTGAGCCGTGCATGAACATCACCTTGGTCAAAGAACAAAACCAACACAGTGCATAAACTCACAACAAATTACAGTATTACTTTGTTCTGGTCACGAAAATATGTCTCAGTACCATAAAAGAATTTCAGCCCCCAAAAATATACTTTTTTTTGCTATTTTACTAATTAAAAATAAATTTGATTTTTTTGAAGAACTTAACATTTTTTGAAAACTTAAGTTTCTAAAGTTTGAAATTTAATGTGTTTTTTTGTCGTTTTGAATCCACAAAATACTTTTTTACTTGTCCCCGTCTCCATGCAGCTTCAAGAAGTGTTCCCTCAGTTTTGCCGGTGTGAGACTGGAGTTGCTCAGCTTGGCATTGCATATCATGGGACTCTGACTCCCATCCCGTTCCGTGATACACATGGATCCATGTTGTACATATTCATCCGACCACTTTCTTTCTTTGCTCAACATGTTTAGTATGGATTAAAATATTGAGAAAGAAGCCACACGACGTACAACTACGACAGCTGTTGACAACTGCGCGCACTAAATTTCCCGGAGCACTGATTGGCCAAGCAATGTAGCGTGATCCTCTGCAGCAAGTGATGGCCAAGCGGGGCGCGTCGTCACGATTTTACACAAGTGTGTCTTTACCTCCGCGGCAAAGGCTCCGCCGAACCCCTGAGATCGACTCATCGAACCCCCGGGGTTCGATCGAACCCAGGTTAAGAACCACTGTTCTAGAGGGAATATCTGATGTCAAATAAATGAAATAAAATAAGCTGTTTCAGTTAATTACAATATTAGTAGCCTTCATGACAGTTAATTTGAAATCCAGAACATCAAATGCATGTTCTTTTTCACACATTTAATGAAATCTTTTTTGGTTTTTTCCAGATAATGGATGCAATTAAAGGTACAATGACTGAGATGTATAATGACCTCTCTAAAGGTTCTTCAGGGAACACAATAGGAGAGGTGAGTGTTTACCATGGGCTGTGGAGAGACTAACTGTATTTCAAGTGATAAAAATGTCAGAGTTCTAACCTGAAAAGTCAGAAAAATTTTAGGGTGGGTGAACATTTTTCCTATAAAAAATTGTACATAATACCCCTTGATGTATTTCCTGCAGATAAAACGGCTGAGAATTGAGATAGAAAAACTACAATGGCTGCATCAGCAGGAGTTGTCTGAAATGAAGCACAATCTCGGTGAGGTCCTCATTCATTTTCTCCTAGCTGCCTCAGTACATTGTCTTAATTATCACGACGACGTTCCTCTTTTCTTTTGTTTGGATCTTCTCTTGCTCTCCGATGCAGAGCTGACGATGGCAGAAATGAGACAGAGTCTGGAGCAAGAGAGGGAGAGGTTAATGGCCGAAGTGAAGAAGCAGATGGAGCTGGAGAAGCAGCAGGCGGTGGATGAGACCAAGAAGAAACAGTGGTGCGCAAACTGCAGGAAGGAGGCCATCTTCTACTGCTGCTGGAACACCAGCTACTGCGATTACCCGTGTCAGCAAGCCCACTGGCCAGAACACATGAAGTCCTGCACTCAGTCAGGTAATGACATGGAGCCAGAATCAAAACTAAGGATTATAACAACAAAAACAACAGCTGTGCTGCAGAACACAAAATCTTACCAAGTATTTTTGATCTAGTTTCTAGTGGAAATATCTTATTACACTTGAAATAAGACAAACCTAACTTACGAGTCACTTTTCAGCAACAAGTAGGAGTTTGTTTTAAGTCAATAATTCTTTAATATTGATGAAAAAGTATGAGTTCCACCTGCAGATTATTTCACTTGCAAGTACTGTAGTACTTTGTCATCAATGTTGGTGAATTATTGACTTAAAACAAGCTTCTAGATATTGCTAAAAAGTTACTTGTAAGTTATTTTTGTCTTATTTCAAGTGTGCTAAGACATTTACATTAGAAACTAAACCAAAAGTATTTGTAAGATTTTGAGTATTTGCAGCGGACAATTCAGATCAGACGTTGACCTACATTCAACATCAGCACTAGTCTCTTTAATGAATTGGGCTCTTTATGATTTAATTGGAAACATTAGGTTTACTTAGTTAACCGAAAAGACCAAACAACTTCAATCATTTCACTTTTTCAGCCAACAACTGAATGTGTAAACATGAGGGAACGTATATATAATAGATCCTTTGTATTTAATTTTGAATTAAACCCTGTGTGAATTAGAGAAAATTCACAATAAATTCACATTTACCCATTCGGTTCTTGTTTTCAAAATTCACTGAAATTGTATGTTTTGTAATCGCTCCACCCTGTAAAACAGTGACATGAATAGATTGGTAATAGTGCAGAGTAAATCTGATTTGTGTCTGTGATGAGTATAAGTAAAACATCTGCTAATAATAACATTTGGTCATTTTCCATAATAACTGTACATTCTTTACATTCATGATAAACCTCTTGACTTGTGTTCATCTTGTAGCAACCGCCCCACAGCAAGAACCTGAGGCTGAGCCAACAGCAGAAGTGCCAAACAAAGGTGCAGGGCAGGCAAGCAGCGGCCCTAATACCCACAGAGATGCCCCAGTGTCTGCCTCTTCAGACAAAGACTGTGACACGGAAAAAAGTACTGAAAATGTTGCTGTGACCTTGTCATAACCCAACATGAAAATGTTAAATTATGTATGTTTTACTACTATGTTGTGTCTGAACTGTTTTATGTTGGATGCCTTTCCAAAATTAAGTTTACTGTTATTTATGGACTTTTCAGAAACATGTTTGCTGCTCCATACATTAAGCTGTTGGTGTAAATGATCTCAGAGCATGCGTTGGTCTCACAAAACAGAAACATGCACATAGCTCAATGGAAAGCCTTTATACAGTTATAAAATATAGCCTATGTTAATGGATCTCAATGGATGATTAATGTAGATTGTAGAGACTGGTGGCAAAAAAATGCAACTGTTTTGTAATATTTGTTATTCAGCTCTTATTTGATGTGTTATTCTAAAACAGTCGATGAGTATGCTGGGGTTTTTTCAGTTACTGTATGATGATCAAACGGTTTTTTTTTTATTCTGCATTTAAATACAATTTCTATTCATTCATTAAGTTCAAAAGAAATATATCATGCTAATCGCTAGCTTGTTGAAATAAAAAAAGCACAACATTCTGCATCAGTTCTCCTCCAGACCAATGGGTGGCGCTGTAACCGAAAACCTTTCGTGTAAACCGTCAGCCATCTGCCGCAGTCAGTTAGATCCAACGGGATTGGAAAATGGAGGATTGACAGAAATGAGGGCATAGCGTCGGTATTTCTAACATGTAGGTGAGTACATTAAAAAGAATTTCAGACTCATATTAGCGAGTATTTAACGTTTCTATGATATTTTCGAGTGTTACTGGTTTCAATAATCCTACTTGAAGGCAGCGTTGAGACTGAACAAAGATGCCTCTTACGTTAGCGAAACCCGTTTTAGCTGTGGATAAGGTAACTGCGTCAATTAAACGTATGTTGGTATTTGACGAGTTTAGCTTGTAGAATTGAATAAGGAGGGCTTTCGGCTGGTATGCATTTGCCTTATTTATTCGAGGAAGAACCTAAATGCTGGGGAATAAAAACGCCTTAGCCGCTAAAGAAGTTAGCTTAGCCCGTTGGCTTGCGAGTGCACGTTCTGCAGCGTTCACCTCCACGTTGCGAAACCAAAATACAAATTAGGACCAAAGCGATAACAGCAATGCAGTCTGTAAGTATTAAGGGGTGCAACGAGGGCGCTCTTTTATGTTTATTTTACGCTTTTACTTGTTGGTGGCGCTTGAGACGGCGTGGCCCGGATTATCGCTAGCTAACGCCACAAGAAGGGTTTTGGCGGAGTGTTGTTTTTTTTCTTCTCAATCATGGTTATGTAACGTGGGGTAAAACAACATACGAGGTCTAGAGACTTAAATATTACTTTCTGGTTCTACTAAGTGCCGATATCAGCTATGCTAGCGCCTATTTTTTTTATGAAAATAGCGTCTGTTGGTGTGTAACGTTTCGAGCAGGCATTCGTAGCGCGCTCGTGCAGAAGGCCGTGTGCGGCCGCCCGGTTGTGGTGGAAACAGCGCGACCTGTTCACCGTGTGCTCCAGCCAACAGCTCGTTATCACTGCAGATAATCACTTCAGCTCGTCGAAGGCGATTTAATATGAGAATATTGTTAATATTGGGTGTGATTTACTTTCTTTAATGGAGCAGCCCCTCCCATCTTCCCTGGCCGCTGTTTGTCCTTTGGTTCACGTGGCTCCAAGTCGTGATCGCATCTTATTCAAGGCTTAAAACGCAACAAATGGCAAACGCTTGAAACGTGATGTGACTCCTGCTTTGATTTTAAAAAAAAAAAGTGTTTATTTCCTATTTTAAGATTGGAATTTTTAAAGTCGCCTTCCTATGAAGGGTTCTGGTGTTTTTCCTCCACATTCATATTTGTAAATATGGTTGTTTACTAATCCCTTATGTGGTTAGGAGACTGTCAGAGTAATTTAAATTGATTGGATGATCGATATCAGTCCTGTCCATTCTGGTGTATTTGAGAAAGACCAGTCTGATTTATTTTTCTAATTTTTTCCACATCGTTGTATCTGTGTGTGGGTGTGACGAACTGCTTTGTTTCTAAATCGTTGTTTTCTTTTTTCTCTGATAGAACCTTCAACCTGACACTGACGATAATTAATCTGATGTCCTTTCGCTTGACAAGTCACTACTGACGTGCAGGTATGGATCATAATGGATAATAATTACATTGTCTTTATTTTTTTAAGCAGCCTTTCCACTGTTTTTTATTTATATCATAAAAGGGGGGGAAATTAAAATAAAATTCTGAAATTGCTCTATTTTATAATGCAAAAGGTAATGATCTCTGTATTTTGTGCAGAGTGTAAAACAATGGACAAAATAATTAATATATATTAGGAACAAAGATGATCCTTTGAGGCATGTATAAAAATTCATAAAATTTGTACTCGTATTTTTAAGTAGAATGTCCTTTGAATTATTAATCTTTCCCTCTTAACTTTTTCCTTTTATTTTTAGGAACTATTTATATATTTTTTTTTTTTTTTGAAAATTTGACAATACCTTTATCTCAACTTGAAAACACTGTCCTCTAGGGGACATAGTGCAGGCTTCTATACTCCAACAATCTCTAAATCTGTTTTACGTCATAGTAACTTTAGTAATAGCTTAAATGTCTCGAGTCTTCTTACAGATAGCATGACATTAAGAAGACTTTTTATTAAAACTTAAATGGTTTTATATATAAAAATATGTATAAAGTAGTGTCAGAGCCATATAGTATTAACAGAGTGTGGTAGTATAATAGGAAAACTTAACAGTTTAAAGGTGCTATGGTTTCTCAGCACTACCTCTAATGGACAGCCATCAGTATTTCAGTGATGAAATCTCTATTGCGATTTTATTTTCTTCTATTGTTGAGGGTACAAATCAGATTGTTTTTAGCAATTTTAAGTTAAATGCATAGTGAGTAATTTTTCTTTTTTTAACAATGAAGTTTTTTGTGGCATTGTTTCTATGGTGCACCTAGGTGATTGACTGTTGTTGATGTTTGCAGGCTCTCGAGAAGCAGAAAGCGGACTAAAGCGACTGTTTCAAATGACTTTGAGAGTCTGGCTACAGAGTTGCTAAAGCAACCAGCTGCAGCACTGAAGGCCGCAACGTGAAGTAAAAAAACCCAAAACATTCAAACTTCCTGTTGGTCCACTGCAGCAGAGCACAATGCCAGTGGAGGCAACGACAGACAGTCCTGAGAGCCGCTGTCCGGTGCGGCGCAGCGGACGGCAGCCCAAACGGACGGACAAACTGGAGGAGTTTCTCATGACGACAAAGCGGGGCTCTAGGAAAAGCGCTCCTCCGAGTGTTGAAAGCGGAGATCCTCCTTCCCAAACGCCAACCGACGCCGAAACTGCGTCCGAAGCCAGTTTTGATGGGAACGCCGAGTCCAGGGCGGCGGATGACAAAGCGGAGTCTCCGGAGAGGAGGACAAGAAGCAGCACCAGGAAGCAGGCGCAGAAGAAAACCCAAGGAGGCCGGCAGACGAGATCCTCAGGGAGATCTGCGGTCAAGGACGAGGAGAGCTCTGAGAATGAGGAAGACGGTAAAGATGAAGGTCAGTCACAATATAACAGCGAGGAGACAAAAGACGCCAAACTAGATCCGGCGCTAAGGCCACTGAGGGTGCCGAGAAGAAGCTTTCTGAGGAGACGAATGAACCTGAAGGCGAAACAGAAAAGGAGACCGATGACGAGGACGCAGACACGCCTGCAGTAATGACTCGCAGACCAGTCCGGACTTACGTCAATAAAACAAAGGTAGCTAAGAAGAGCCCCACACCGGCGAAAGCTCCTGCAGCTCTGAGCAGAAACACGGCTCCCGTGAAGAAGGAAACAAAACCCAAAGCAGTCGGGAAGATGAGCAAGCATGAGATGACGGAGGAGGAGGAGGAAGATGATGACGATGATGATGAGTCCTTCACTTCTTCGTCTTCATCTGCGTCTTCAGATGAGGAGTCTGATGATGGAGGCTATGACCCCAACGCGCTGTACTGTATCTGTCGGCAGAAACACAACAAACGGTTTGTTTTATTCAGTATGTTGTCATTATGGCTCCTTCCTCTGTCAGTTGGCTCATCAGAAATCAACGTGTTCAATGCCTTTGAGAAATGAGCTTTCCCTTTGAACTTGTTCATGTTTTATGTAACTATCAGAAACATTAATGCGTTTTATTGGGATTTTATGTGGTTGTCGAAGTAGGATGAAAAGGATTCTTATCTTTCAAAATGTTTAAGATAACAATTATCCACACTGGAACAATAACAGTCCGCTCATCTTTGCATCTCCCAAAACAAGCTTACTACTTCTTTATTCGCTTTGATTGTGATTTGACCTGCTTTTGTTTTGTTGTATGTTTGATTCCACCATTTGAATGGGAGTATTGTGTTTACTGTTGGGAATGTTGAGTCAGAACATTCAAGTTTTAAGTTTAGAACAAAATGTATTGGTGAACATTTACATGTAAATTACATGAGATTCTAACCAGGTGACTAATGTCTATTTCTAGTTCCAGTTGGCAGCTTAAAACAAATAAAAAATGCATAACAAGAAATGCAGAAACAAACTTTGAAGTCAGAAAATCTTTGCATATAATCAATATTGACATTGGCAAAATTAAGATTTTTTAAAATATATATATAATAAATGAAAAGTCCCTTATTTTACTTGGAATTGTACTCAAAGTATGTGAAACACAATAGAAAAAAGTCGCGTGACCATACAGTATTTTTCCTGAGTGGTATTGAACAGTGAGTCCGGACCGGCCTTTAAGCAGAAGCCTGCAGTGTGTTGTGGTAGAGCAGAGTGGGAGAAAAGCATTAGCCTGGGAGGGTGATCTTCTTCCATTCTCCATGTGTCTCAAGTCAGGTTTTTTTTTAAGTATCTGAAATATCTTTTTTCATTATTAGCTTCAATCATCCCCTTTGACCAACATCCATGTCAATAAGTGTTTCGTATTTGTTGATTGTGTTTATTTTTCTTGCCAGAATGACCAGATTGTTGCCGTCTTCCCTATATGAGTTGCGATAAACTGCAGTGGCACTTTTTATGGCATCCAGGAAAAGCACCTTCCTCTTCCATATTCCATAAAGGCCACATTTAGTCAGTAAACCATGTCATGGTAAATGTTCAGATGATTGATCCAAGAGTGAACTTTCAAAGCTTGTGATATTGTTTCATAAGACAACTCCACTCTAAACTTTAGATTTATTTAGATCTTTTAAAAATATGAAACTAATTATTGTTTCCCACTTGGTAAGTGTGTGCTTTCCTGGTTTTCATAATGCTGTGTGTTCTCTAGTAAGGCCTTCACAGAACAGCTGGATTTCTACTGGCAGTGAATTACACATGGGTCAAATCTGCACACTAAATAGGCAACTTCTAAAATTATTTAAGTATCTACTGCTTTATCTACGTCTGACATAAAATCCCAGTAAAATATGCTATTAACAAAACAAAAAATAGTTGAATCAGAGTGTGACGGCAGTCCTCCAATTTCCATTATTTCTGGTTTGTCTCTACACTAATTTCGTAAATATAATGTTAATCATCAGCTAATCATCTCTTAGCTATGTGAGAGTGAAGTTTGTATTCCGCATGTTGCTCCATAGGTTTATGATCTGCTGCGACCGCTGCGAGGAGTGGTTCCACGGCGACTGCGTTGGCATCACCGAGGCCCGTGGGCGTCTGATGGAGAGAAACGGAGAAGACTACATCTGCCCCAACTGCACCGCGAAGAAGAACCAGGTGGTCCGGCCCGCCATGGCCGTTCTCCCCACCAGCGCAGAGGCGAACAAACCCAGAGCAGACGTCTCTGCTCAGGTTACCGCCTCGGCTTCCTCTGCATCTGCTGAGAAACTGTCAGCCGGGCTAAATCCATCAGCTTTTCAGGGGGCGGCTCCGCTTTCCACAGCGAGCGGGGCGGAAGATCAGGGCATCAAAGGCAGGATAGAGAAAGCGACTAATCCATCTGGGAAGAAGAAGATAAAAATCTTCCAGCCGGTAGGTGACAGCAGCTGGAAACCTTTCGTTTCGTCATCCTCGGTCAGAGTAGGCTTTACAAACATATACACCTCATCATCCAGCTGTTTTCATCCTTAGCTTCTTTTCTTATAGGGCTGCAACTAATATTGATTATTTTTTATGATTAATCGATTAGTTTGACGATTAATCGTTTAATCTGACAATTAATTGGATTAAAACATGGGCATGTTGTGCAGATTTTTTATTTCATTAAATATTTTTTAATACAATATTTGAAATATGATGCAAATAAAACAAGTCAATTCATTTCTAAACAAAAGATAATTTTATTGTCTAACATTTAAAAGCAGCATTTAGCTGAAACTGCCACTGGAGTTTTGGGTGAAACGGGTTTGCAGAAAAATAGATGATCATAATTGTATGTGCATTTTGTACAGTTTTGGCTTAATCATGGCTCTGAATGTCATATTTTCAGCAAATGGTCTTTTTTGAAGCCGTATAGTTCAGTTAACAGTCTATTGCTAAATTTGTTGACCATTTTGAAAATGGAATAATCATTTCAATCCTGTTTTCATGACACATTTGTTCACCGTATGCACACAGTTATAACTTAGGGCAGACCTGCAATATGAAATGATCTGTTTATTTGCTAATCTTGTTGCACGCCGATTTAAATCAGGCTATGCATCAGCCAGCCCAGCCCAAAGCAGACCAAAAGGCGGCGGCGGCGGCTGTGGAGCCGAAGGTCCCGTCGACAGCAGAGCAGAAAGCCCCACCAGAACCAGAGCAGAGGGTGGAGACGATAGTCGAGGTGAACACCACGCCGGCAGAGGAGGCGGCGGCCAAGCAGAGGGCGGAGGATGACTCCTCCCTGCCTAAATGCATCGGCCCCGGCTGCGACAGCATCGCCCAGCCGGACTCCGTGTACTGCGGCAACGACTGCATCTTGAAGCACGCCGCTGCTGCCATGAAGTCCATCACTGACGTCAAAGAGCCCAAGCAGAAGGACAAGAGCATGCCTCAGAAAAACAAGTCCACAGCAAAGGTAACCCGGACTGCCTGAAACGGTTTCACTGGTTGTGTCCAATAAGGGTTTAGAAACTGGATAACTGCAGACCTGTGGCAGGAATATTAAACGTAAAATGTTTACATGTCAGAATCAGAGGGGGTTTAGAGTGTTTGGGCTGTTTTAAATCTAGGACTTGTTTCATATTTATCACAGTGTTCTTCCAACCAGAGTTTGATTTCGGAAGGAAAAATGTTTTTCACGACGGTGTCAAACTGCTTGTTGTGCTCGTCCTCTGCATTTTTAATCGTGCTTTAATTAAAATGAATAAGGATCTGCTGTGAATGTGAAATATGTGTGGTCTTGGAGCTTTTTAGCTAACGATAACTGTGATTTCAGAATGTGAACATGTTTAAATGTCGTCTTGTATTTCATCACAATCTGTCTCTTTGTTGGGGAACACCAAACGACCCTTCAGCCTGTGGAAAGCGGCTCCTAATGTTTCTGCAGCTGAACACCATGTCAAGTCAAAATTGCCGTGGCAATACGAATGCCGTGTAGCGATCACAAAAGACTGCTGGGATGCCACGTTTGGTAGGATATCGGTTCCATGCAGGCAAACTCTGCATGCCAGTGATGCATTCGGCTGGTTAGGTTGAACTTTGTTCTCGAGACCCACATCGGACGTATATTTGTAGTGGCTGGGAGGTTAAAGTTCACACAATGTGGCGGGAGCATTCAGATTAAAGAACAGTTGATATCTAAATGTTTTCAGCAACAGTTTTGCAATTTTTTTTCTTCTTTGCTAATATTGTGCATCTCCAAATGTCCACCATCTAATTATTATCAAAGACAAAGAAAAAAAACCCCATCTGAATAAGATTAGGACTTTTATGTCATTATAGCTCGACATCTGAAGGTGTAAAGTGTTGCAACTTTAAGAGAAGTCATCAAAATGAATAGCACTTCATATCTTTTTAGATGATTTTTAGTCTAACTCAATAGAATGTGATGTTGAAGTTTCTGTTCACTGCTTCCTCTTAAATGTCTTAGGATGTTAAATATCAACATTATTCTGCCTTTACAGGACAATTGTATTTGTCACATAATATTTCCAAAATATTATGCGACAATTTGATTTTCTTGAACGTCGGAACGCATGTTTCTTTTCTACAGCTTTGACCAGGCGATGGACCCGTTCTCTGAGCCGCTCCAGAACTGATTCAACTTTTTATCTCATAAATTACAAACTAAATTTCTCCACAGCTTGTGAAGCTGACAGTCATCCATTCTTTGATGTTCTTGTTCCCTTAAACGTGTGTTTGACTGAAATTCGTCTTTGTGAGGACTTTTAGTACAAGACGTCAAAGCAGATATTTTGTATGACCTGTTTTCTTGCAAACCAATGTTTTTCATATTGCCTGCTAAGTTTCTGAACTCTATTGAATCCAACACACCTGAATCTGATGGAACGGCTCGTTTCCAGGCCTATGCTGCGTTGACTGACTTTAGCCGGCTGATTTAGGTGTGTTGGATCAGATGCATCTGAATTTTGCAGGATTATAACCATGGAGGAGTCGCCTAATAAATATTTCTAGACAATAGTGATTAACTATTTAAACATTTTAGATTCAAGACACACTGAGTCTTACCATGCTGCAAACTTCAAAATACACTTTCTTTAAAATTCAACGCTGTGTTAGACTGTATGTACATGAAAGCTGGCTTATGTGGCTTCACAAAACGGAGGAAAACAACTGATGTCCGTCGGCTCAGCTGGAACATCAGTGTCTCTCATAGATGATGCCGTGTTTATGCTTTTTGTACGTCGTCACAAGGTCAACAATGAATAATTGTGACCTAGTGTCATTTTATTGCTCCTGATCTGTTTAACATGGGTTGTGTTAAAGTCCAGCCTTGGAGGGCGACTGTCCAGAACCTTTCAGAGGCATCTCTGTATGAACACACCTGGATGAAATGATGATCCTTTACCAGGACTTAGTAAAGCTTGATTGGATATCCAGGAGGTAATTAACACATTTATTTGGGTTGTGTCGATCCTGGGACACCTTTAACGGTGAAGGAAACAAGCTGTTTTAACACTGTTTTATTTTTAGCAAAAGCTATGTCGATTATTATTTATTTTTACCTCTTTGTCGCTAGTTTCCCTTAAGACTACCAAAGTCACTCCATCCTGTGGACAAGCAGAGGATTAATACCACTAATTCCAGTTTCCCCTCACGCTGATGGACACATTTTGAAAGTGTTCTGATTGATTCCAAACCAGGTGACCTGAACTGGGGAGGAATGTGTTAACAGGGCTTCTGTAGCTGATAATTGTCAGCTTAGTGTCTCACCTTAAGCAAATCCTTCTAGTTTTCTCACCTGTTTTCTAGTTTTCTCATCTCTGGTGAACTCTTTCCTCAGTCCCAAGTTTGTGGTTTCTATGACAGTGTTGGCTTAGCAAAGAGTCCTAATGTTGAGTTAGAACTCTTTAACGCATTACTAATGGTGATGAACCGTCTTTTTTTTTTTTTTTTTTCTGTGACCGCAGGACCGAACGGATGCATTTCTCACCAACAGACTTGGTAGAATTTCCTTGAGTCTTCGTAACCAGTCTGAATTCATGCGGTGGAGAAATTTCTCTGACTTGTAAATCTGTTTCTCTCCTCTCCTGTCCAGAAGGCTGGAGCCGGCGGGAAGGCGCAGAAGAAGACCCAGAGGGCGTCGGACAGCGACGAAGACTTCAGCCCCGACCTGGACGAGGACGACGAAGACGAATACGCAGAGGAGCAGCGGCCTCCGCCGTCCACTGCCTCCTGGTCCAGTGACCATAATTACATTGCAGTAACACCAGAAAAGACTACACCCATATCACCAACAGTGTTAAACAAAAAGTGTATGTATCTCCTTGAAGGTCTAGTGCTGCTTTTTTTAAACTGCATTAGTCGTTTTCCTGCTGTGTGTGTGGTTCCTAACCTTGTTCGGAAAGCGTCCCGTGTTTCTGGGGGAGAACATAAACTGATCTGTGCAGGAGAAATATGATCTAAATAACACAGAGACTTTATTAAATAATGAATGGCTTGCAGTGTTGCAGCAGGTAAGTGTGAGGAGTAATAGCGACCAGAAATGAAGGAGTTTTACATTAAAAGGCACTCCTCATACAACACTGGTGGCTCAGGGGGAGACTAAACTGATGCTGTAAGGGATTGGCAGCTTCACTATGTATACACATATATATATATATATTTATAATAAAAGTGGGCGTTAACCGAGTTAGGAATGTACCGGTCTGAAATAGGTTAACGGTTTTGAAGGCAAACGCTTTGTTTCTGGATCAGAACATGATGAACTAGACATTTCGATGCCTTTGGGATAATTCCCCAACATTTGGGAGACGCCAAAAGCAGAGGGATCACTTTGTAGAGAATCAGTTTGAGGTGGACTGAATGAAGTGGATTTATTGGGTGCTACCGTTAGATTTTTTTTTTTGTGTTATTTTTTCCCTTCCAATGACCTTCCTGATTTCCCTCCACCCACACCAAGCCTCATCACATCCCACTGCTGTCTGCCTCAAAGGTCCTTCCTGCTGCAGGTAGGTGGGAATTTCTGAGAACGGCTCATGTTGAGCTGTTGCTATTAGCAGCTAAAACATTTGACTTACCTGCCCTTCATGTTTGGGGGTGATGAGATGTTTCATTCATACTGAATGTGGTGCACCACTTATTTTTCCTAAGTGACTGGCTTTAAAATAAAAGGTGATAAACAGATTTTTGGGATGCCTCCATTAATTTCGAGCGTTGTTGGCTTGCTGTCGGATGTCTTGACCAAGTTCAGCTGAAACCAGAGACGTCGACGTGAAGTGAACATCCCGCACCCTTTTTACGGACGCAGTCGGGAGCGGTGGGGGGGAAACATGTCTGCGAAGACGAGACCCTGAAGGCGAGCGGTGAAGATCTGCCAGCTTCAGAAGGAGATGGAAGACTGAAGATTTCCTGGAATGGATTTGATGCACATGAAGGACAACTTTATGAGATTAGCTCCCACTTGTGATGAACTGGAAGGAGTTAAGGTTATATAAGCATATGCTGTCAGATTAGAAAAAGAAGTTGTGTTCAGCTGTTTTTGGTTAACCAGACCAAAGTGTAGAACATTTGATTAGTTGCCATTTTATATAATGTCACAAATTCTCTAGAAAACGCTATTAGATTGGCGGCTTTACATAAAATGCTGTGGTTTTCTAGAGGTACTGGATGTACATTACTCTTTATGCAGTTATTGACTACAATTTAAATGAAAGCTACAGTAACTCTGAAAGTGAAGGATGTAATTTTGGGAATTTCACAAAATTGACCACCTGTGGAGCTTTGTTTGTTCGTGTGCAATCTGTGAGTAGGACTTCACCCAAATTCACCTTAAGAGGTCGAGTTTTGTGCTTTAGATACTCGTTTCAAGTATGTCGCTCACCTATTGATGAAATTAAGAAATTAAACATTGCCAAATCATTATTTAAATTTAAATGAGTGTTCCAAGCAGTAGATGTGGGTTGAGCACAGTGCTTTTCTAGCTGCTATTCTAGAAAATATGCAAGTAATAGAAAATAGTAGATTGAGACAGCAGCTGCTTGGATGCTGCTGCTAATAGACGCTGCAATTTGAACTTGAACAGGCAGTAATGCCAGATCCCTCTGATCTCTTTTTTGGGTTTGGGGAGTTTGGATATTGCTTTTTTTAAATTTATTTATTTTTTTACTCATATTTCTTTTCTCCCATTTTAAAACAGGTTTTATTAACACCAAAACGCACCAGGTTTCACAGCCATAAATAAAATGTTTGTTTTTTTGTCATCTTTTCCCATGTTTTTAAATATCTTTAACTATCATATTCCTTCTGATGTGACTGATTTATGGTTTCTGATTTAGAAATTAAATTGTCGTTAATTTGAGGGTGTTTTTATTGTGACTGGTTGATATTCGGAGAAACAAATTTTGCCAACTTTTTTTTTTTTTTTTTTTTGTTTTACGAACACTGGGTTTTGTTCTTGGTTTACAGCTCCTCCCAAAGAAGAGAAGAGTGAGAAGGAGCGGAGCCCGTCGCCTGAGAAACCCACCAGAATATCCTCAAATCTACGCAAAGGAAAGAAGAAGTCCCCTCCACAAAAATCCACTGCGCTTTCATCGAAGAGCAAGAAGTCTTCTCCGCAGGCGAGCAGCTCCAAGGTCTCCAAGAAACACGCGACCACCCCAACCAAAACCACGGAGAAGTCCAAGAAACCCGGCCAGGCGCCAGCCCACAACCCATCTCCATTCCCCGCAGGTCCAATTCACGTCACAGGGGCCCTCAGAGTCACCAAGTCGAACTTCACCATTCCTAAGAAGCAACCTCAACAGAGAGACTCCCCTTCCCAGAGTCAGCCAGACTCCTCTTCCTCCTCCCGAGTCCCGTCCTCTCCAGCATCTTCCACTTCATCCAGCCGCTCATCGTCTTCCAGGCATTCCCATCCACCTGGATCATCCTCCCACTCGTCCCCCGCGAGACCACCAGCCAACAACCAGATGAGGCAGAACATCCGGCGCTCGCTCACCGACATTCTCTTCAAAAGGTGGGTTCCTCTCATCTCCAGGTGCCACATCTTTGTTTTGCTTTGTTTTTTCTTTACTGACCACTGGTGATGTGTTTTCCTCCGTCAGGGTGAGCGACAGCGATGACCTGAAGATGACAGAAAGTGAGGTGGGGAAACTCGCATACGGCATCGAGAAGGAGATGTTCAACCTGTGCCTGAGTACTGACAGCAAATACAAGAACAAGTACCGGACCCTGATGTTCAACCTGAAGGACCCGAAAAACAAAGTGAGTTGGTCAGGAGCACATGGTTCACGTGCAGGCAAGTTTTAAAGGTCATTCGAGCCAACAGGGTTTTGGGGATGTTTGATGGACGATGTGTGTGTGTTGCAGGGTTTGTTCTACAGGGTGATTGGTGGACAAGTTACTCCCTTCAGACTGGTGAGACTAAGTGCTGAAGAGCTGCTCTCCAAAGAAATATCCGAGTGGAGAAGGTCTGAAAGCTCAGAGGTAAAAATTCCCAGTACTTTTACAAATCAGATTTCCTTTAACATGTGACCCTTTTCACGGTTTGGCAACTGGAATTGCAAAGTGGAAGGAAATTAAAATGTTTTTTTTTTTTTTTTAAAGATCTGAGTATTTTGCACTTTGGTTTTACTCAGACACTTTTAAATAAGATTGATGGCAGCAGATTTCTTTTAGAGGGCCATTATTGTTGCCCATCAGCCCAAACACACCGTTTGATTGGCGAAACATGATGGTGGCTACATCATGCTGTGGGGATTCATCAGCTCAGTAGTAAAAGGAAGAGATGGGTGGAGCTTCAAAACAGGGTTTTTATTTAAGTTTTTTACAAAAAAAAAAAAAATCCAATCTTTTTCTATTGTACTGTTTTTGTTTAAAAAAATTTTTTTTTTTTGATTTGGAACAATTAGCAGTGAGGCACATCTTTGAATTCCTGTCCTCAGGGTCACTCTCGGGGCCGTTCGGGGCATTCCAGACATGGAAGCAGGCACAACACGGGCTCCCACAGCGTAGACATGGACGATGCTCCCCCATCCGATGCAGATGTATGTATGTCCACTACGGCACCACCGTCTTCTCGCTTGGGTTCTGCGGCAGTAAGTGGTGGCGAGCTTCTCTTCTGCATCTTCCTTCACCCTGCATGAAGCTTTTGCCTGAGGAAATCTGAAAAGTAGCCAATAAATATTAGCAAATAGAAGTATTTTTGATTTATTTGGGCACTCTTTGCAATTCCTGTCTTCAATTTGCTTAGGATGACTTGCGAGAAAGAAGTGGCATGAGATGGGAGAAGTGTTTTTTTTTTTTTTTTATATTTAAAGTTTGATGGGGTTCTTCTTGCATTTCCTCAGGACCAAGAAGAGGCTTGCTCAACTCCCTCAGTGTCCGCCCAGCCCTCTGCTGACGGCAACACTGGCAGCAACATGGCGGATGTTTTCAGCAGCATGCTTAAAGACACAACTTCTGAACACAAGACTCATCTGTTTGACCTCAACTGTAAAATATGCACAGGTAATACAGGTTCAAGGTAGTACAACGCTATTATGTTGACTGCAGTGTTTTTATTCGTGCTTCAAAAATGTGTCTTCCAGGTCAAAAGACTGAAGATGAACTTGCATCCAAAAAGTCCAGAGTCTCCAGTAAGCCTGACGTCAAACTACCCAGACACGAATCAAGGTCATCCAGGTCTGGGGATTCACCTTCCGTCAATGCCGCGTCCTACCCTCCCCTAGATTCCTTAACGTCCCATCCGGCCGTTGCTCCACCCTACCACTCCAGCGCGGGACCGGTCGTTCTAGAAACTGCGGCGCAGCTCTACCAGGAGGATCCGAACACGATGGTGCCTCCCGCTCCAACCCTTCCGCTCCTCGCCCCCGCCGTCTCGTCCGTCAGCATCTCTCGTAGAGACCCTCGCGTGGCCCGCCACGGCTCCGCCGCGAGCGTCGCGCCGGCGGCCATCGAAAAACCCACCGGTAACACGGCAGAGCCCGTCCTGGCTCCCATCACAGCTTCTGTTGCTGCTCCGATGGACGCCGGAGTTAAAGTACCGCTGCCACTTCCGCTGCCTCCAGCGCCGCCTCCAGTAGTGGCGACGTCCAAATTTACGAAAAAGAGGTGTTCAGTCTTTCTGCGACGGCACTATGAAGAAAAACTTGAAATATTTGAGTTTTTAAAGTGTTGCATCAACTTATCTAAAAAGAGGGTGTTTTTGGTTTATTACAGCTCAGCTGAACCTCCTCCTGAGGGGGAAACGGCAATCTTCTTGTACGGTCAGGAGACAATATGGAAAGGCTTCGTCAACATGCAGTCAGTTGCTAAGTTTGTGACCAAAGCTTATCTGGTGTCAGGCTCCTTTGAACACCTGAAAGAGGTTATACATTGTTTTCTTTTATGCATCGAGTAGATTCTGTGTTTACTTCAGTTCACATAAACATCCAACCTATTTCTCTTTGTCAATGTGGTTCAGGATCTACCCGACACCATCCACATCGGAGGCAGGATATCTCCCAGCACCGTCTGGGACTATGTTGGGAAGCTGAAAACGTCGCTCTCCAAGGTTGGTTTAGAGAAAGATTAGCTGGAAGAAAGAAAAGCTGCGTTTTTCCTCTCCAAACTTCTTGTATCAATTTCCATATTTTTCCCGCTCTGTGTGTTTTTCAGGAGCTGTGTCTGATCCGTTTCCAGCCAGCCACAGAGGAAGAAGAGGTAGCATATGTGTCTCTCTTCTCTTACTTCAGCAGCAGAAAGAAATTTGGCGTGGTAGCCAACAACAACCGGCGCATCAAAGACCTCTATCTCATCCCACTCGGCTCAAAAGACCCTTTGCCCTCTAGGCTATTACCGTTTGACGGGCCAGGTAAGCATTTAGAAGGGATTATAGAAATACTGCTCTTGCTTTTTAAGTGTTGTGTGATATTTATTAATTTCCTGTCAAACTTTGAGTTTTTTTTTTTTTTTTCCAAACATACGGTAAGTATTTTCTTTGTTCAGACTGGAATGAGAGCTTTTTTCTAACTGTAGGGGGTGCTCATGTTTCTTTTTGAGTCTCCCAACATGCCCATATTATCTTCTGTATTTGTCTCTGTGTATTTGAAACTGTATGGCACATTTTCAATAAAGTTTGCTCTGCAGATTGGTGCCACATCATCCAGTCTCTATCTGTTGTTTCTCTAGACTTGGCTCAGTATATGTGTTAAATGCATATATGACTAATAAATTGGTTTCAAGTCGTCTTCGGTCAAGCTTTCGTTTAAGATGCCAACCATACAGTGAAGTGCTTCAGCGCTACCAAGGAATCAAGTTGGATCCAAACACATTTCTGCTTATGGAAGACCAGCACTTTAAGTTTCTGAAACCGGTTGTTGAATAAAGCAGGTCCAACAACTCTGTATAGAGGTCAGGTTTTTCACCAAATCATGAAAAAATGGGGGTCTGGGAACAGATTTTAAATAAATTCAATCAGTTTAAAAGGGAAGTATGTTCCAGTCTGTGTATATATGTTATATAATCTTTTTAGTACTGTATTCGATTTATGTGTTGCACCCATCAAATACCCTGCAAGACCCTTATTTGCTCGTCTAAGCTTCTAACAAATGTCAGCAAGCTAATGGTAGTGACGCATCATTGGCAGAAACCGGTTCGGTTTCCCTGAGGTCTGATCTGATGGAAGATTTAATTGGAAGATTTGAATCCAACAGAAAATTAAGGACTTGCACATTTTTTTTAACCATTCGTTCACTGGATTGTCTCTTGTTGAATTCTGTCGGGGGAGACTTGGCCAAATGAGTCCTAATTATGCATTTCAGTCTTGAGTCTATCAGATTTCTATTGAACATAATGCATGAAACTAACTACTGTTGGTTGATGTGTTTTTAGACTGAAATTGGTGAAAGATCTTAATTTTGTATTGAATGAAGAGGGTTAAAGGTACATTTTTAGCATTTAAGTTGGCTAAAGGAAATTGGCAGTTCTGATCTCTGGCTAATTGTTTTAATGCAAGAATTTATGTCTTTATTATAGCGAGAGGTTCTCTTTGATACCTTTTTGTAGTCTAGGGCAGTCTTTTAGCTCTCATTCCAGTATTTTTTGTTTTGTACCTCAGCATTGTTATTGTTGTTTGTTCTTAAATCTCAAATTTTTTATGGATTTTGAAGTTCGCTCTCTGATTCCTGTGTGTTTGCATCTCAGGACTCGAGCCAGCTCGTCCCAACCTCCTCCTGGGATTGCTGATCTGCCAGAAGGACCGAAAGCGAGCCGGTGCGCCGCTCGAACCGGAGGACAAACGCTCCAAACTTCAAACCAAAGACGCAGATGAAACAGGACTCCCAAAACCCGCTCCCGCAGTCAAGGCAGAGAGAAGCGCACGGCAGAGTCTTGAAATCCCCTTCAGCACGACTCCTCCAGGTTCACCTCCATCTAACTCTTCGGAGACTCCCGGCAGCACCACCGCAAACACCGCCGTTTCAGTCCTTTCCTTGTTATCGGCCGTCAGTGCTCCAGTTGCATCTGCTACCCTGGGCAAGGATTCCACATCCGGAAGCTCTGCTGCCGCCTCTGGATCAGCCGCCACGCCTCTTCAAACCATTCTCAACACGATCTTTCGGAACAAAAAGCTGGACTCAGACGCTTCCAACTCTCCATCCGATCAAACCAGGGAACTTCCTGCCACCGCTACAATGTTGGACCCCATTGTCCAACAGTTTACCCAAAATCCAAGAGAGACACCGGAAGAGGAAGATGAAGACGACAGACCGTATGATCCAGAAGAAGAGTACGACCCGAGTCTGGTCTTTAATGTGACCAAGAAGGCTGCTGACGAGCTAATCAAACCTGAGGTCAGTAAGCCGACTGAGGCGGAAGCAGCTGAAACTGACGACGTGGAGTACGATCCTGAAGATGATTCGATTTTTGATGATGTAAAAACTGTGACACCGGCACAAACTAAGCCGGTAGCTGAAAATGTGCCTGACGCAAAAATGATCCTGGAAAATCTTCGAAGAATTGGAGATCAAGCGCTGCAGAAACAGGCAGAACAGCAGACGTTGTCCACAGAGGCAGCCGCCGCCGCAGCTTTGTTGCTTCCAAACACACTTGCCAGCAGTCACCTGCTCCAACTTGGCAAGAAAGTTGAAGAACTAGTCAAGTCGTCAACGGTTGCTCCGCTTATCAACCAGAGAAGAGATCCAAGACAGAGCAGGGATCCTCGGCAGTCTGTGGGTGAACAGAAACAATCTGAACCGGAACAGAGAGAGGAGCCGTCTCCTCCTACGTCAACCGAACCTTCTCCTACCTCTGCACCTCTGGCACAAGAGCAATCTCCGCCTAATGCAGAAGAACATGCTGATGCCTCACAAGGTGCAGAGACCTCACTGGCCCAGGAGGAGGAAAAAAGTGAGGCGGCGCTGCCTTTCATGGACTCAGACAACGAAGAGGTTTTGATTCCTTTACTGGGAGAGGAGGTGGAACATAATATGGAGGTGAGCTACATGACCGATAGGAAAAGGAAAAGAGACGAAGACGACAAAGAGGAAACTGAAGTGGACAAATACAGCATTTGGCCAAATGCTGCCAGCATCTTAAAAGCTGGAGATGATTTAAAGTACGAGGAAAACAGCCAAGATGTCCCACCTTCGCGGTATCGCAGAGAGTCTGCAGACATCTCCACGGTGACGTCCGCCATCCAGTACTCACTCAAAGCACAGTGTCCGACGCTCACTCGCATCACATGCCACACTACTTGGCCTCCTTCGACAGCGAGTACCGACCGCCAATCGATGTCCCACCACAGTCCAGCTTCGTCCCTCCCCACCCCATGCAAGGCCAGAACCTGATCATGAGGCCTCCGCCACAGTCCATGCTGCAACCCATGCAAGGTCCTCCTCTAATGTCCGGTCCTCCTTCGATGCAGGGGCCTCCCCCAGCTATCCACGTTCCTCCCTCTGTTCATGCTCCTCCCCCACGTCAAGTGGACGGCAGTCAGCAGTACGGCCCCACTCCGACATCCTACCCTCCCTATCAAAACCAGAACCAGTGGCAGAACAACCAACAGCAGCAGCCGCCTCCCGGACCACCGATACAGAACATCCTGCCGCCTCGGGGACCCCCTCTTCAATTCCCTCCAGTTTCTCAGAGAGCACCCCCTCCACAAATATTTGATCCCTCCATGACCCCTCAACACATTGGACTACAAGGCCCACCTCCAAACATTCACCCACCTCCAAGCTTTGAAGGACAGAACAACTTGCCGCCACCGAGATTCTCTAGTCCTCTACCTCCTTTTAATTTCCCTGCTAACAGAGGTCCTCCTCCATCTTTCTCAGGACCCCCACCATCTGCTCACTTTGATAACAGGCACCCTCCACCTGCTCTCTTCCCAGGCCCCAGGGGTCCCCCACCAAATCAGCATTACAACAAAGACACTCCCAGTAACTCCTTCAATCCCAGTATGGACCAGAATCCAAATCCTCCCCAATATTTTAAAGAGAATCTTGGTCCTCCAGCACCTTCCGCTTATCGTGGACCTCCGCCCGACCAGTACGAGGACCGGAGAGGCCTGCCTCCTAGCGCGGAGTTGAGTGGACAGCTCTTCCAACCACATAACCAGTACGGCGGTCCAAGGCCACCGCCATCTTCACCGCTAGAGAGACGGTCTTTCGATGAACCCCGGGGACTCCCGGCTCAGGAAAATCGGCCGCATCTTTCTCAGATTTCAGAACGCTACCGTTTCGATTGGCATTCAGACGATCCCAGACCTGTTCGCCACGGCGTGCCGCTTCTGCCGCCATCTGTAGACGGACTACACGGCCCTCCCAGTCGCCACGGAGGCCAAAGTCCAGACCTGCCGAGGGAGGACCACTGGCGGCGTCTTTCTCCGGAAATGAGGAGGAGGAGTGCCACCCATGATGATTTAGAGCCTCGCTCCACAGAACGTGCAGAACGTTTAGAACGCGGAGAGCGTTTGAGTCGCTTTGACGTACCACACAGAGAACTCAGTTCTGGCTCTGCACAGTCCTTAGAGGAGAGGCAGAGAGAACTCTCTGAAGACCACAGGAGGGAGAGAGAGAAGGAAAGTCCTCATGGTGGCAGACCCCCCTGGGATAGGGGGACAGGCAAGCGCTGGAGTCGGGAACAAGAGTGGGATCGAGGAAGGGAGAGGGAGCGGGAACCAGAGCGTGGAAGAGAAGGAGAGCGCAGCAGGGGGAGGGACAGTGAGAAGACCAGAGACACAGAGGGAGAGAGACACAGGGATCAAGACTCTGAGAAGAGGAGGGAGAGAGACAGGGAGAAAGAACGGGAGAGAGACAGGGACAAGGAGAGAGACAGGCCTCGGGAATCCGACCGGAGAGACTACGACCGCGACAGAGCGAGGAACCGAGACAGGGACAGGGACAGAGACAGGGAGCGGGAACGAGACCGAAGACGAGATCGATCGAGAAGCAGAGACCGCGACCGTGGAAAAGACCGGGGAAGAGAGAGGGAACGAGAAAAAGAGCGCGACAGAGAGCGGGACCGGGATCGCGAAAGAGAGAGAGATCGAGATCGTGACCGAGATCAAGACAAGAGGAGCAAAGAAAAGAAAGAGGACAAGAGAGAGAGCAAACGCGACTCATCCAAGGAGAAGACTAAGAGTACAGACAATGACAAGCCCTCTTCCTAGACTCTTATTTTATAGACTCTACATCTTTCTTGCTCCTAAATCGTCATCCAAACATCACTGTAAATGTGTATGAGCAGTATTTTGTTGAATTTCCACTTTCAAACGGTTCTCTGGAAAAAGCTCTACAGTGTTTGTACTCTTTGTCACCTTAAGATTTCTACGTTTGTGTTTTTTATTCCCTCGAGTTACTTGAGTGCAACACATTGTGAAGGCTTCCAGTCCTGACAAATGTACTTTTCTCTGGTTGCAATGTGTTGATTTTTTTTTTGTTTTTTTCTGAGTAAAACTAAATAATGTAACTGATTAACACACCATTTACAAAGTGTAAATATGCACATATTTCTGTATATACTGATGTTTTTATCCAGACTTTTCTAAGTGCAGAAAATAAAAGCCATATATAAGAGGTGGATAATGTGAAGCTTAAGGCAGCGCTCTGGACTCGTGTCCGGATACTTTGAACTAGGCTTTTTATCGACAGTGTACATCCCATAGTGTTGAGAAAAATGTTCTGTTTGTCTCGGCTCAACCGATTAAAAAATGTCTCCTAAAGTTTATTTGCTACAGTCTCATTTTTTTTTTCCCTCTCTGTCTTTATTGAAACCAGACTCCTCGAGTGTACAAACATTTTTACTGAATTAGAAAGTGGCTCAATAAAATCACAGCAGCCAAACTCTTCTGATTGCACAAAAACAGGACTTTATTGAAGTTCAGTTTTTTTGTCGTTTACAAAACATACAGTTCTCGTTTGTATTTTTGGTTTGCTACGGTTCTGTTCGCAAGAGTATCTACAGGCCCAGATATTTGAACTTGTGACGCCAGATTTATCTTATCCCAAACATGATGGAAGCGACGGGATGCTCGCCGTGTCCTCTACCGGCTTTAAACACAACATCTTGTAGATCTTTTTTTGTTTAAGCTCGTTTTCTTGCCATTGTTCCGTGAAGTAAAGGTTCACGACGTCATCATGAGGAACAACATGCAGAAACGCTACACGTTTTTTCACCACAGTCCTGGATTTTAATTCGAATGAAATCAATAAAATGGTTTTATTCTTTTAGTGAAGGAACGGCGTGAATGACGATTCAAGAGCCGCAGATGCGTAGAAAACCGAACCAAGAAACAACCTGCAGGAGAAAATAATCCAGTTTTTTCCTCACTACTGTAATGCGCTTTATTTGCCTGAGTTATTGAAGCCACCTAGTGCAAAACACACATTCAGTGCATAAGAACAGTAAGAAGATGTAAACAACTGGGAAAAACTGCAAACATGAGTAACGGGTGTCATGTCAACAAACACTGCCTTCAACTCCCACCTTCACTTTAACATGAACATTAATAAACTCCAAAACTTTGCAGACATAAAGCCTTTCAACAAGCGTTTGAACAGCTTGTGCATTGAGTTTTTATTCTTATTGCCGACACGTTTCTTGCAGCATCATCAGTTGATGCTGCATCATCAGTTGCCCCAGCCGTTTCCCCCTGGATCACATTGGTCCTGTTGCTGCTGACGTCTCGGCCACGCGTCCTGGATTTTCTTCGGGCACCACACGAACGGCTCTCTGTCATCGTGGTGATAGTAGGCGAACTTGAGAAGCTTCCTGCGTTCTTGCTTGTCGAGAACGGCAAACAGGAAGTAGCTGAGGGCGCTGTCTTTGACCTGCTGAAGTTCGCCGTGGACCAGAGTCTCTTCCAGGAAGAACCGAACCAGAGGGACCTGGTAGTGGCGGTATCCCAGAGTTCCCAGGCACTTCAGGATGCGGGTGATGCGCAGGTTGTTGTGCGTGTGACTGCAAGAGGTCAAAGGATTTCAGATTTGGATGAAATAGTCTCTGCAATGCGCAGACTTTCGTTTTTTTTTTTTTGGTCAACCGCCTGAATTGCTCACTTGTTCAGATTCTGGAACCTGTCGAACCAGTGCGCTGCTCTCGCCACCTCTCCCGTTTCCTTGTTTTTTAACTCGATGCCATAAAAATCCAACATGAGCTCGTAAGACTTCAGCAGGTTCTCCCTGGCGGCTGAACTGCCAAGAAAATCCTGAAGGAAATGAAGAAATGATGCGAGAGCCTGTGCGACATGTTTGTTCAGATATACTTTGCTCAGCATTTACCTGAATTTCCTGCTTGGTCAGCGTTTTTGCTTCATAGTTTAGCCCGGGTTCCTGCAGAGGAAACAACCTTTCAAGGACAAATTTAATTACAAATCGGAGCCTCAGATCTTCCTTCCAATCTTGACATCGTACAGTACCTTACCACTGAATGTAGCTGTGTGTTTGCTCCAGTTTTGCATACTTTCCCTTCCAGTCTTTGTGGAACTGATCAATGTAGACCACTGATAACAAACAAAAATCACTTTTTCTATGAGCTTAACAATAAAAAAAAGAAAGGCCACAAACATATTTCATTTATTCTCCTTGTTAAGCCACGACTCAACACTTAAGAAATCCCTTCGACACAAAACTCGACAGCATGAAGTCGGCTGAAAGCTCAGAGCCGCATCAGGCGTCGGTGGAGGCCTTACTGTCTGGTAGCGACGGCGTTTTCCCGAGGTAGAAGCTCAGATTGGGCTTTTCATCCTGTTCAGGGAAAAGACGTATTTTGTTTTTTTGGATGCTTCTTCCACACATAAGAAGAGTCGCTTTTGCAACAGGCAAACGCGTGTACGTACATTTTCCTCCTGGAAGCGGTGTCGGGCCCGGGGAAGGTTCTGCGGGGGGAAAAAACGAGTTGGAGCAAATGGTGGAAGTACAACGTGGCTTCATGTGTGTTCAACTCACTGGGTAGTCGTGCCTGTAGTTCTGCATGTCTCTTGCAGCGCTTTCGAACCTGGCGAACTTGTTCTGGGGAAGAAAACAGAGCCGCGTCGTTCAGTGAAGTGAAACCGGCCAGCATGCGGCGCTTCTAATCGGCTGCCGGGGCAAAGCCTGACATTTGACCTCGCCACATCACATTTAAAATGCTCAGCGCCATTTCAAAAGAGATTTATGCCTGATTGATGTAATTTATCAATAAGACTTGAGAAAAATGATCTGAATAATGCATTTAAGATTTCTCTGAATTTCAGTTCAATTTGATTTTTTGGGGGGAGAATAAGTTTCAACAAAAGTGCCAGATTTATTACTGAATAGTGATGTGTTCATTTTTTTTGTGTGTTGAAAATTCTAATCGGTTCAATCTTTGTAGATTAAAAAACCCAACATTTTCAGCACAATGGTAAAAATCTGTGTCTCTTTATGTCGCTGATACAAATTGTGGCATCAAAACAATAATCATCCCTTCATACATACATAAAAATGGACACACAAAGTAATTCATAAGGCCTGAAATCAGGAATATTAAATAAGATTTTTGCATGACCAGTTAAAACTGAACTCATTCTTTCAAGGACAAATTTAATTACATGACTCATCAAAGTGTTTTATAATATCAAAATGAAAATCTACTGGAACTAAAAGGCATTTTCAGCAGGTTGAGTCGAGCAGTTTGGCTTTTATTTTTTTCAGTGCAGGAAGTGAACGCGGAGCAGAAAGCAGCTTAAAGGAGCCGCACAATAAATCAAATCTTATTTGTCAAACTCACATTTCTGTCCCTTCTGCTCTGGCGGCTCTTCCTTCTCGGGGGCCCCTCGTTCTCGGGCCCCCAGGTCTCCCACGTTGAGTCATACTCGCAGTAGAAATCATCCGTTTCGTCGACTCGACATTCACTTCCGGTGACCTCATCCTCCACCTCGACCCTCGGAGGCTCCTGACGGTGGGGGCCGCTGTGAGGACCCCCGCTGTGAGGATCCCCTCCGCTCCCCTCCTCGTCCGAGGAGTACCGGGCCCCGGGCGGGTCGGGCTCCTCCGCCCCGCCTCGCCAGGGCAACGAGGCCCAGTTCTGGACTCTGAGACACAAAAGCCGAACTCGACCGCAGAGGAGCCCGACGCCCGGGACCCGCCAAACCCAGGACAGCAGCGGAGACGGAGCCTGGAGCAAGAACCTGAGGAAAGCGCTCAGCCGGTCCAAACAGAAGGAAACGCTGCGTCGAACCAACCGGAACATGTTGGACCAGCTCTCCATGCCGGCAGACTGGAGCAGGAGTTTCACTTTCCCACCTCGGTTCACTGGGCAGAAATCGAAAGTGAACTTTTCTGACGACAGATTTAAGTGTAGGGCCTTGAACCTATATGGGTTATTGATTGATTTATTTATTTAGTCGAATTGATATTTTTTTTTATGGAAGCCCGTTTCCACTACTCTATTAAAAAAAATCTCATTATAATGAGATCATTAATTTAATTTATTTTTTAACAAGGTGGTAGAAACGGGCTTCCATAGTTTTCAGACATTAAAATGTTCTCCTCCAGCTCCACCACTTTGAGTCTTAAGGTTTGGATTTCAGGTGAGCAATGATGAGGACTGCTGACTGGAATCAGTAAAAAAAAAAGAAAAAAGATCTTTGTTCTCGCATCATGTCCTTCGTCGAACGACAAGAGAGTCACGGTGGACTGTGAGCCGACACGAACCGGCGGATCCACTAGGCATGCTGGGGGCCGAGGCCCGAGAGAGAATCAGCACCGGTTTGTCTCCACAAGAAAAATAAATCAAAACTCACAAAGTGTAGTTGTGCTTTCACAGAAAAAAAAAAAGAAATAAATATACCATAAATATAACACCATCTGGTGAAGTGTGATGGTGTGTGTTATTTTTACAAAGCTGGAGTATTCACTTTATTTTGTATTGATTGTAAATTCCTGTCTGTCGATGAGTTAACCTCCGAAGCAGAGCTCAATACCAAGCGAATACGGAGCTACATTGTTTATTTCAAGCTCCTTCTTTTAATAAATTAAAAACAGTTAGTTAATTTAATGAGCACTTGCTGTAAATTGAAACCAGGCGTCTAACAATTATGATTGATTACGTAGACAATCAATGTAATCGTTGACCCCGTTTTGGATGAAATGTCGTGACGACTGCCATTTCGTAAGACTCTTCCAGTCCAAGAAAACCCAAGTGCCGCTAACTTTTTCCGTCGAAACCTTTGCGTCAGTGCACACTTTTCACACCAACGTGCTACGGCTTTATCCGCGGGACGAAAATGTTTTGCGTCCGCATGCTTTATCTTATCTCACGCGCTGTCCCCAGGTCCGTGTAAAGATAGCATCGTGTTTACAGTCGGCCTCGCGGCCTCATTTTCCGTAAAAGATGGCACACGGAGGAAAGAGCGCCGAGGCTTCAGTCGGTGAACATCCTGCATTTAATGTCTACCTGTGGGAGATAAAGAGCCGGTCGAACTCTGCCGCGGAGCAGAGAGATACCAGATAACGCAGCGTCATCGCTTCATCAATACAGCTGTTAAAACTGTGGGCTCTTTGTGGTTATAGCTTCAGCTACGCTGATCAAAAATCACCTGGCTAAAAAAAAAATCCCACCACAACTTTAATGTGTGGTTTTTGATTTGAGCTTTTCATCGTGTTATAATGTTAACCCCCACATCGAAAGCATACCTGGAAGGTTACTTTGATTCTTTCACGCGTGTTTAAGAAATCTTGTAATCTCCCGAGGCGAGCGTTCGGCTGTGCAAAAAGGCCTGGGTGGACCTAGCCCCGCCTTCGAGGCGCAGCTCCTCCTCGGAGCGTCTCAGAGAGCCTCTGTGGTGGATTTGTCTCTGTCTGCCTAAAGCCCAATTGAAGTTGGTTTATTCCGGCATGTTTTTGGAAATGTGAAATGAAAAACGTGTCTGTTTTGTTTTGGTGAGCGCCTGGTTGGCCTTGAAACTCTCCCATGGACGCCATTTTGGTGTCGAGCTGTGTAGCTGCTAACCGTGTCGGTGCACAATTTGACATTTGGAAAATAAGTTTGCGTAATGGAAATGTGCCAATTAAGAAAAAAAAAGTGTTTTGATAAAAACATTTGGCCGTATTGGAGCTGGTTTAAAACTCCATTGGTGGCACTTTTTATTTATACATTTATTTTTTTACACTGGTCAAACAATCAGCAACCGGATGTTGCTACTGGCGCAAATCACAAAGAAGAAGTTGACAGGAAGTGATTGGAGGACGATGGGGCGGTACGTTTTTTCAATCACATCTCCCGTGAACGTTAATGGAATCACCGTTTCTACCACCTTGTTAATGGAATAAATTGCAAAATTGTGGGTTTTGTTTTACATTAGCCTAGAAAGCTAACAAGGTTTTTCTTGTGTTTGTGGTGGAAACGCAGCTGCTGTTTGGTTGTTGAATCGTTAACACTGACCAGAGCGAGGCCTGCAGTGCTTCGGTGACCTGCTGGAACCAGAACCAGATCAGTGTTGGCATTTCCCCCCGTATTAAATAGGAAAATACTTTTACACTGTTCCGACAATCGGTTGAGCTGAGATCTAGAAACCGAACAATAATTTCAATGCTTCCTTGTAGCATTGACAAGGAAGGCTACCATAAACTTTCTTGAACGGCCTGAACTTTGAACCCATTGAAAGCTGATGAAGTATGCTTAAAAGCTGAGTCACATCAGTAAACCTGCCAGCTTATAGGAACTTTTGCAAACTGTGGTTGGATGACGGCTAGAGAAAGGACACAGCTGGCGGCGCTGTATCCTCTGCTAAAAACAGCTCAGAGAAAGTCAATGTTGTGAAGGGAATGGAGCCAACAAACGTCCATGAAATGACTAATCTCTGGCTTTTCGTGAGCGTCTTTGGAGCACGAACAGTTTCCACCGATTGGGTTGTCTTCCTAAAATAGACAAAGGCTTTATAAGTGAAAGAACTTGCAAGATGGGACTACGGCACTTATTTTTTAGCATGGTGCTAAACCCCCGTGGTTTCATCGCTGTGCCACCAGCCTCTGTGCCTCACCGCTCAGTGTAGCACTTTGGCTGAAAGAGGAGGCAACCGTCCCACGAGCGCTACATAAGGACGGCCAAAGCTGCCCAGAAAGGGCAGCTGCTCCAGCTGTAGCTCTGCGAGGCAGCCGCAGACAGACACACACGCAGACACATTGACACTTGTGTATTTCAGATCCCTCAAGGCAGGGTCACTGATTAACGGCCGCACTTGAGCTCCGAAATGCGTGTACGCATTGCTGCGCAAAGACGAATAAACCATCTCCGTCTGCGGCGAAAACATTTTGGGGTCAGCATTCCTTTGCTTGACAAACCGATGAATGTGCGCAGTGGTAAAAGTAAGTTAATCTCTGATATGAAATGGTGTTTTCACCTCAATTTAGAAGATTCCACAACACAGCAGAGGGTGAAAGTGACCAAAGGACCAGAGGAGCTAATCACTGGTGAGTAGATGCAGCTGGGAAGGGGAGCAGAGTGGAAGGCTGAGGGAAAGAGGACAGACAAACACCACTAACACATGGTGGGTCAGTTTTGATGTGCTTGTTTGCGTCTTTATGACTCACTTTGTGATTTCAATGTCTCTCATACTTGCTCACAAAGCAGAGACAACTAAAAAAAAAAGAAAAAAAAAGACGAGGGAAGATGACCCGGCACACATCAGTGTTCCTGAAGAGGCTCAGCGGATGATGCCAGCAGGCCAGACGAACATCCTGTGAAGCAGGGAGGTAGGTGGTGTCCGCCTGCCCTCCTCCACCTGCTGATGGAGCAACAAGTCTCACAGTTTGCACTGTGCGGCCCCTCAGCACTCGAGCCCTGCAGGATGAGGCTCTCCCTCTGAGCACCAGCAGCAGCACGATGAAGGCGCACAACGTCAGGACTCTCTTCCTCATCCTCTCCGTTGTTTTCTACCTGCTCATCGGAGCCGCCGTGTTCGACGCGCTGGAGACGGAGAGCGAGGTCTCCCGGCAGGAGGCCCTGGAGCAGGAGCTGGGCGAGCTGAGGAGAAAGCACGGCTTCCTGGAGGAGGACTACCGGGAGATAGAGGGAGTCATCCTGCAGTCCGAGGCGCACGGCGGCGGCAGGCAGTGGCGGCTCTGCGGCTCCTTTTACTTCGCCATCACGGTCATCACCACCATCGGTGAGCACGCGGCTGCGGCTCGTTGACGTCGACGTGACCTTCGATTTGGAGGCGCGCGATTAGTTGCAAAAGTTTCTGTGGAGCAGCGGCGGTACTTAAAAAAAAATTAATAAAATAAAATAAAAAAATCTCACTTTTAATATTAGCTAAAGTTTTCTGAGGCACATACCAATTTATTTATTTATCTTTTTGCTTTTTCTGCTACCAATCACAAACTAAATGAAAGCTCAGTCAAGCATTTAATAACTAAAAAAAACCCAAAACAATTAATCAAATAAGGAAAGTAATCGACCTTCACAAAATCACTTCAAAACCAAAACAAGAAAAAAATAACAATTTTACCGAATGAACAAATGAAATGATAAAAAGAAACTTTCACGAATTTTAAAGTTTGTAAAAATAAATAAGTAAATAAACTTTCAAGCCAAATTAGGTCGACATGTAGCGGATTGATTTTTATTGCTGTTGCCAAAAGTGACTGGACCATAACTTTAAAAAAGAAAGAAGAAGAAGAAGAAAAGCTTCAATTTTTATTCTGTATTTATTTACGTTTCCAGCGCTGCAAAACCCTTCAGGTCTGCTCTGTCCCATCTCACCCAGACTCCCTCAACTGTCAGCCGGCCCCATCTGGCCACTTTAAAACCTTTCTGGATTCTCCTGATAGGTGAATAAATAAACAACAACAACAACAATAATAATTTCAAAAAAGCTTCTCTTTAATGAACTACAAAAGTAAATTCTTGCTGTCTACAACAGTCACATTTATGTCTATGAAAATCTTTTTCCACTTTTCCTGCTTTCTCTGTTTTACTTATTAAATTAAATAATCCCTGGGTCTAATGCTGGTTTTACAGATTTCTCCTGGTATCTGAAAAGTGTGGTGTGCATTTGAATTCAGCTGAATAAATACTTTCAGCACAGAAACAGACGGCCTTTCATGGTTTGCCTCCATCAGCTGATGGATTTTCTTGTCTTTTATTTCCCTTTTTTTCACTAAATTGTGAAATCCAGTGCAAATTAAAACGATGTTATTGATACCAGAGAGGAATTAAGCATCATAACTCGTGTTGGAACAAACTTCCAGAAAACTGCAAAACAGCCGAAACGCTGTTAAATCAAGGCTGGAGCTCCATCT